TGGTAAACATCTACCAGACTACACAGCGCAACAACCCAGAAGACAGAAATCTTCATACTCTGATGACGGAGGCAGTATGACCTCTGAAACGTTGATAAACATCGACCAGACTACACAGCGCAACAACCCAGAAGACTGCCATTTTCACACCCAAGGGTTTGGACCCAAAAGAAATCGTAAATAATGCAGAATTTTCACAATTTTGTATCAAAGAAATATTCTGGTGGAACAAGCCAAGGACCCAATACAATTTTAACAATAGTTATTTTCTAATCTTAAAACAAGCAGAATCACAGCAAGTAAATTAACGACAAAATTTCATTTTTCGTGCGGATGTTTATGACAGAAGGAATTCATGTACAAATACGCAAAACTCGTCATTTCTTAGATAACAATCACACGGCTTAATTTCGACTGTCGCCGGTGTTCCTGCGTAAATTCTTTCCATCATTCAAATCAAAACGAGCAGTAATCATCCGTTCATTGCCTCCCGAGTTTTACAAAATAATGTCGGGGCAGGTTTTCCTTCATCTATTAACTCTAACTGTTTACTAAGTAGAAGCTCTTGATAAGATTCATAGAATGTATCTGCGGATCAAATTAGTTGAGAATGGAGCTTAATTAGCTTTCTTGTTAGAGGGTTACATGTAAAATACATGCACAGAACTTTCTATGTGTATAAGACAGACCACATTCATGTGACACGTATGTATGAAAACTGTGGTTACAGAGTCAATGGCTGTACGAGCATATATTTAACTTGATCATATTATAAAGTTTGGAATCAACAACAGAGACATTAGAAGCCTGGAGAACGGATAAAATACGCCTTCTCCTTCCAGCGCCGTCGTCAGCGGAATCAGATTCTGCGCAACTTTAATAATTTCAGACGTCCCCGGTGGCTACGAGTCCTGTTGTTATGACGATGGGTTTGGGGAGAGCACAACGTGAAGTCTCAAAACTGACTCTTTCTATCAGATACATCGCCAATTAATGCAAAAAAGTCTCTCATAAAAGAATCGTAACCTTAACATTGAAGAGTCTAATGATAGTTTATAGCTTCATCATGCAGAAGAATCTTCAGAATCTGATAGTCGCTCAGTTGGTACTCCTCGTTTTATGGAGCCCAAAGGTTGACAAAGATACCGCGCACTGGACATGAACTTGAGCCAGCTGAGCCCATTAATATTAATTATTTACGATCTGAGATGGTAAAGTTGCGTCATATTGTGATATAATGAATATATATTATCAAAATGAAAAATGATGGTCTAATGTAAATCGAATATTTCGATAAAGAACATCATTTAATATTTTAAATATTTTAAATGTTAATTATTGTAATATTTTAATATTTAATAAGAATTTATTGTGATTAGACGGACAAGATTTAATATATACTTATTATATCACAATATGACGCAACTTTACCATCTTAAGAATAAACAAACAAAAAATAATAATCCACAGATATCCAAAACTGAAACGTGTGAGCACAAATATTTCGGCAATCACACGAAGACAGTGCTTTTCGGAAACGTGAAAAGACAACGTAAGTGGCGAAGAACCGCCCAATAGGGTCGCAGAACATTTCCTCCACTGTGCGACAATTATTTTAATGGGAACTGTTCTCACTGTGGCGGGTATGAAGATGGCTGTCTTCTGGGTTGTTGCGCCGAGTAGTCTCGTAGAGGTTTGCCGACGTTTCAGAAGTGATTGCAGCAACAGAAACCACCTAAAGGGGGGATATCTCCTACGGTACAGGAGTGAGGAACATCGAGTCGAACGACCACCTACTACAAGTACAGAAATTGCTAATTAATGCAACTTGTTGTTGTTGCTTTCTATACGTCATCGTGGCATGGAGGTTATAAATAGTAATTTTAGGTTTACCTTACATGAGCACGCTCAAGACATCAAAAGTTAAGTGCTGATGTAGACTTACTGTACGATGAAAAGTTTTGGTTACCGAGGCGTCCGCAAACGGATACGAGGGGTGTCTTCTGGCTAATTGCAAAACACAACTGCAGCACTGACACTTAAATACCTATTTGGTTTACACTCCGACGTTTATGGGGGGGGTTTTTTACGCTTTTTCGTAAGTTTGTCGCTACTAAGGAGAAACCTGTTACCTCTATCATCAGGAAGAGCAGTACAGACTAAATATATTCAAGAATATTATTTTCAGTTAAATTCTAATTTTCCCTTTCTGTTCCTCGTTTAACAATTTCCGTCTACCACATGAAATTTTAATTTTCGCTAAAAAATTCAAACACCAAATTGTTTTTTTTTTTTTTTTATAAAGGCAGACTTACGCATATTGAAGGTCAGTTATAAATAAGATCCTTGGAAACCAAGACGACAAAGACATATCTTATCACCTGAAATCACGCAAATCACGCCATGACACAGCGTTCTTCATCGGCAGCTGACAGCTAATCAAAAAATAAATTTAAGCCCTTTTTGGAACCAAATGATTTATTATCGTGTTCATAACATCCCACCACCTACAAGCTCCGCTCACGTCATCCACCTTGATTTGATCATACTAACTACAGCGGTTTGTAAAACCACGGAAAATGTTACAAATTCCTCAACACAAAACGTGAATCTAACGTTTCTATTACTCGTACGTGCCTCTACTGCACACAAATGTCGTAACCAGGCAATATACTGCTAATACAAAAATCGATTACGTATAAATCGGATAAAATTCGTGGACAGAGGACAAGCAAATATACAGGTTCACTAAAATGGCATTCACATATTCTCCCTGTGAACAAACACCGAACACTGGAGGCGAATAAAAAAACTAAGGACCTGAAAACAAGGCCACGTGCCCTGAAGTCATGATTTCGCTCTGGTATGAACCCGAGACGTGAAAATGTTACGTAAGAACGCACCTCGCACTGTTAAATACGAGTACGACGTCTCAGGAATTTCTTGGAATAACTGATGGTTTCTGTGATGGTGACTTTATGGAATTGGCACTGAAACGACCTTGGGCACTGCACGAATTCTGCTGGTGAATTGTGCAGTCAAACACAGATAAGTTTGTGTCCGAGTTAGTAAGAGTTAATTTAGTCTTGAGTCCTGAAATCCATTCCCAATCTTTTACTAACAGCGCCAGTAAACCGTCTGCCGAAACGGTGTGTATGTATTTATTTAAAACCAACAAATCATTTATTTTGCATCAATACTTTCTTTAATTTGGCACTTCATACCAATAATATATGCATTTTAAGATAAAGCCTTGTCTACGCCGTGTACTCTATGTCCATGCAGCATTATCAAAAGAGAATGGGTGTTCTCCAAGGACCCCCAGCAAATATACAAAATTTACTGTAGATACAGTCAAGAAAATCTACGCATTTTATGGAACCCAAAGGTTCATTGCCGTGTTCACACGAAGCCCGCCAACCGACGCTGGGGGGAAACTGCGTAATGAAAAGTTCCACAATTTGTACTCTTTACCTCACTCGTCCTTATGATAAGAACAATGACAATTAAAGTCTTAGAATGGTAAGAAGTGATAATTTGGGACAATGGAATTTTAGGCTTCGAGTTAATTTGTGGTAAGACAGGTAATTTTTTTTTTATTTATTGTTCTGTCTGACGACAGGTCCATATGAACAGGATCCTTCCATCCTTTTCTCGGACTGGGACCTGTTCATATACGTTCTTGGCAGATGATCCAGAAGTGGTTTGCCATTGCCTTCTTCTGTGTGTGAATGGGATGCCACGGAGAAACCGGGGAAGAAGCCCCCGGAGGAAAACTCCGTGTTGCCTAGACCACGGCCTTGCCCAACACAAGTTATAAATTCGGGCAGCACCGCCGGGAATCGAACCCGAGACCCCAGGATTACAAGGCCAGCGTTCTAACCGCTAGACCACCGTGGCACGTTACCAAATATTATGATAACAAAATCATGGATGGATGGAATGGATGTTACGCGCATGCGTGACATGAGAAAAGCAAACAAAATGTTGTTGCAAGCCTGAAGAGACGACACCATTCGGAAGACCTACATGCAGACAAGTTATAATATTCAAATATCAGGGGAAGTGGGGATGGAGTCATCTTTCGCAGGGAAGTTGCCGTTAGCGGGCTCTTGTGAACACGGTAATGAACCTTCGGGTTCCATAAAATCCGGGAAATTTCTTTACTAGCTCAGCGTGTTATTAGTTTCTCAAATATAAATCTGCTCCATGAAGTTAGTTAAGATATAATATAATTAATTAAAAGGTATGACCTATCGCTGTTAAGATAAGTGTTTTTTGCATTCCAAATGCTGATTAACGCCTACGTACGTAAATACATGTTTCTGAAAGCTATTATTTCTATACCAAACGTTTTTAATGGATCAATACAGAACAAATTTCAAACCTGCAGGCATGCACTCTGCGTGTCGGGTTGCTGGCAGGAAACGAGCCTCGCGCCGCCAGCAAGGCGACATCGCTACCTCTTGCCAAATATCGATTCAGTAAACTTGCTATAACGCCCCCATAGCTTAGTACTGTTCTTTCGCTATCCGATGGCGGCGCACTAGAGGATACGCGTGGGTGTGTTGGCGAGAAGCATAAAGTGAGAGAATAGGTTATTTTGCGTTTTGGCGCCGTGTAGACTCGTCGGCAGATGACAACGTTCCTGGCAAACTCGCTGTCTCAAACTACAAGGCTAAATACGGGGACTTTATGTCTCTCAGAAACGTTGGCATCTACCGTCGAGTCTACACGGCGCCAAAACTCAGAACATCATCAACTATGTCTTGAAAACCGAAAATCTCATAGAAACCGGAGGTTAGTTAATTATTCCAAGAATTCAGGGATACAACGTCGATAAACTTCTACCAGACTACACGGGCGCAATAACCCAAAAGACACCCATCTTCATTCCGTTATAAAATCAGCTTAAAAATTTAAGTCATCGATAAAAGAGCATGCTAAAACATTCCTTTATGAAGTTACTGCTGTATTGAAACAGACAATTTTCCACTTACGCTCATCCAGACCCGACACTGCTCACTTGATGTGGATACTCTCGCCTGATGGAGGAGAATGAGACAGCACGGCTGTCACATGTAGAAACGGTTGCTTACCGCCCGAAACTTCAGGGGCACAGACACAACACTATTCCCCATTTTGGCAGCACAAAATTTACTAGGAACCTGAAAAAGAAAAAGATTTTTTTTTGTTTATATAAAGCATATTACAAAGTAGCTACAACCCAGAAGACAGCCATCTTCGAACTCAACGCCGTGAATACCTCAAATCCTATTCAAACACAAATGTCTTCTCGAACAATGCTACAAGCATAAGGAAGTTAACTCTTGACAAACAAAAGAATAAGCAACAATTTGCGGAAATCGTGCACTGGAAGGCTTAAATACCCCGGAATATAAGGAACGAGACTGTAAGGAAAATTCTTTATACATTGCTACGGCGTTTTCACGGAACGGAATATTGAGACATCGCACATTTCTGTAAAAATCACCCGTTTTCAAGCAAGTAACTGCAAACGGAATAACGACTAGCCCACACAAAGCAGGCAAGCAAAGTCCTCCTTGAATGGTTACCAGTCGCTCAGACGTCAAGAAATCCCCCCCCCTCCCCAAAGCTCTTGAACAAAGAAGATTTTTTTACTCTACTCTCAACAGCCAGCCACTAATCAGTATTCTGAGCCAGATGAATTTAGTTCACACTTTCTCAACCATGTTATTACAAATTTTAATATTATCTTCAAATCCACTCCTAATCTTCTACTCGCGTATTTCGACTAGGAGTTTACATGATTTATCATTTCTAATCGCACGTCTTACATTTTACTGATTATTTATTTATTTAGTGTTCTGTCTGACGACAGGTCCATATGAACAGGATCCTTCCATCCTATTCTCGGACTGGGACCTGTTCATATACGTTCTTGGCAGATGATCCAGAAGTGGTTTGCCATTGCCTTCTTCTGTGTGTGAATGGGATGCCACGGAGAAACCGGGGAAGCCCCCGGAGGAAAACTCCGTGTTGCCTAGACCAACGCCTTGCCCAACACAAGTTATAAATTCGGGCACCGCCTTCTTCTGTGTGTGAATGGGATGCCACGGAGAAACCGGGGAAGCCCCCGGAGGAAAACTCCGTGTTGCCTAGACCAACGCCTTGCCCAACACAAGTTATAAATTCGGGCACCGCCTTCTTCTGTGTGTGAATGGGATGCCACGGAGAAACCGGGGAAGCCCCCGGAGGAAAACTCCGTGTTGCCTAGACCAACGCCTTGCCCAACACAAGTTATAAATTCGGGCACCGCCTTCTTCTGTGTGTGAATGGGATGCCACGGAGAAACCGGGGAAGCCCCCGGAGGAAAACTCCGTGTTGCCTAGACCAACGCCTTGCCCAACACAAGTTATAAATTCGGGCACCGCCGGGAATCGAACCCGGGACCCCAGGATGACAAGGCCAGCGATCTAACCGCTAGACCACCGTGGCGGTATTTTTACTGATTACTCAGCCTTATTTCACATCACAGTTTTGCCTCAAATATGATAAGTCTTAAACGCTTAGAAGTCTTAAGTAAGAACTTCAAAGGAAGTGGTTGTGGCCCATTTCAAGGCGCTACTACAACATTCGCGTGCAGAGACTGAGGCAGCCACAGAAACGTCAATCAGGTTGTCTGCAAACCGGCCGAGATTCAAACCAGGTACGCACCCAGCACCATCGTCGTCATCACCACACGTCACTGACGTCGATGGATGTTACTTTTAAGAAACAGAATATTAATTGAAGATGGATAAAAGCTGTCAGCTTTGAAAGCCGCCCACACGCCCGGAACTTCTTTTCCTAATTAATGGTGAAGAAAAATGCATTTCATTTTCAACTGCGCTGCACAAGACTTCTTTTAATTTCAGGTCTGTTTCACACATAGTAAAATCTAGTAAAAAATACAAATTATCTTTATCTCGACGTTCCGTATTTATAAACTATACTTTGACATCACAAATGACCTGGAAGGAAGTGATGAAAGCAAACTGTGTTTAAATTACTACAAAAAGCACACAGCTTTTCCAAGAATTTGGTGTCAGTGTATCTGACGGAAGTCAACAACACATTACAAACTCCAGAAGTATTCCCTCTGAAATCAGGAGTGATCTGTTATCTGACAAATTAAAGCACGCTATCTGACGTGATCCCGAGCCACTTTAATCCAGCTCACATCACAAGAGCACAATCACATCCACGGAAAACAGTCCTCAGCTATCCAAAAGTGTCCCGACTTTAATGTAAAATTAAGGTAAGACAGAAGTGGGAAATTGGACACAAGAAGTTAAATAAAAGCGAAGACGCATGACTGAATGGGATTCTTCATTTTCTGTTGGGACCTGGCGCATAAGTTTTAATTAAAATTCTGCCATTTACAAGGAAATATATGTCATCAATAGAAGAACTCTGTGAACGTTTCTCCTAGAAATTAATCTTGAAAAATTCTTATTCGTTGCCAACATTTGGCAGGGTAATTTTAAATTTCAGAAGAATTGCATAACGTCGGCCATAATAGAACGAAGACTGCTACGAAACACCAAAAATGAATCTCACTTAATGGATCCACATGAAAGTGTACGTACAATCGTATGCAGCCTTTCCTTACACATCATTTTGCATTTAGTATACGAGGTGCGATCGGAAAGTTTCAAGACTGTGTCAATAGCGGGCGAACCGGATGTAGTACGAGCTTCTGCTTTTAGGGGGTGCGGCCTACATTCATAATGAATCAGTGTGCCAGCCGGCATCATCGAATTAGCATTTGTTTCTTAGTTACGGGCGTTTTGGTAGTGTATTACACCGACCCTCCTGCGATTTCGGAATGGCGGATTAAACTTTCCGATCGCAACTCGTATGCTCTTCAAGATCATCCCATCCACATCTCTTGGTCTAGTTAACCTTCAACTGTGTTGCTATCATTAAGCAGATGCAGAATATGGTTCGTTCCAAGAATAAAAGGGAAATAAATGACAAACAGCTGATTTCTGGAAAGATCTATTACTCCTCCTAAGTTATTTAACGACTGTTTTAGAACGCAGAGAGAGGTTACATGTCATCAAATTCAGTGTTTCAGATGGAAGCAGTATGTACGCCTTTCCAACTGCAGAGGTTACACAGCATCGAGTGACGGAACAACTGATAATGAATACTCGGGAGAGGATGTGAAAGGAACCGGCCGTTGGTTCGAATAGGGTACCTCCAGAATACGAATCAATGTGAGATCCGTTTCGTTCGCTGAGCCGAATCACGACAACAGCACGCGATGAACAAGATTTCAGCCCACAGAGCCGTTTCTTTCCGAAGTTTAACAAACGACAAGGCGTTACTACCCAGAAGACCAACATCAACATGTACCTCGAGTTCTTAGAAAGAGTTCATATCAATGTTTACTTCAACGACTTCTGTAGCTAAAACTTTTTTCAAGTCTGATGACAGTTTAAAGACCCCTACATGCGCGTAAGGTTATATTAATCACGAAGGCATTTAACATAGTTGATATGTCCTTATGACCCGTCTTCCAAATAAGTACATATATAAAGTTCTTATAATAATTATATCAAAGTCCTGAATGAATGAATGAATGAATGCAAAATAATAACATGCACAGAGACCTCGAGTAAATCTGGATCGAATAATCTACTAAAACTGCATATTTGTTTAAATCAAGTCCGTCTAATCACAATTTAAAATTTAAAAAATTTAAAATATTTAAAATACCATATGATGTTCTCTATCGAAACATTCGATTTACACTAGAACATCATTTTTTCTCTCACGACATGTTTCAATTCTTCGATGAACCATCTTCAGGTGTATAAAATTAAAATTATATAAACTTAGACATAATTTCTTAAATGCAACTTTTTTATATATTATTGTATTTTATTTAGATGTTTATCAGACATCAATGTTGTTCTCTTCCATATTTTATTTTAAACATACTCGAAGTTGTTCTACATATGTACGTCGTGTTCAATATGAACTTTTTGTGGGTGAATGCCCTTGTTGTTTTTATATAAGTCTGCAATGCAAAGAATATAAAGACTAAATGAATATTAATAAATTAGAAATAGAAAATAGAAAATAAAATAATATATTAGAGAAGTAATTTTGAACATACCATACATAACATACTAAAACTGGTCGATTAACAGTTGAAACCGTTGTGTAACCTTTTAAATCCCAGTGGTAACTAATTTCCGATCTACTTAAACAATCACTTACCCTTAATTTTGAATGTATGAGTTTCGTATTATTCTCGGTGTAAACAGAGATAATTTCATTAAACATCAATAACCAGTACATCTTTGTAATGGTAAAGTGTTGATTTTGTCTTTACATTGCGGACTGAATTCTTAAATATTATTTAGGCTCTGCTCCGGCCTCAAAGCGTTAATACGTCAAATATATAACTTACTTTCGTAAAAGTGTAGTATCCCTATTCCAAGACCAATGAAATTCTGGAACAGAAATGTATTCCTAGACCTGCCGTCAACATTTAGCATTAGTTAACATCCTTTTAAAGAATTACTATTTACGTTACTTTCAACAATTTTAAGTACATCTACTCATGGAAATACTCCTGAACACTGTTTCAGATATCGGTCACATTCTCGAATTGATTCCGTTAAGGATTCCCCAGGGATTTGATAATAAATTAAGAAGACGACCCTGGGAGGAATTTTCTCTTAAAATTAAAAACTGCAGACCAAATCTTCTCTCGAATAACAAACGAAGTCTGTAAATATTGATGGGGACAATGCACGACCTACTCACTGCGTCGACCAAGATACTACAGAGCCACGGCATCAGAAAACCTAACCGACAGTGCAGGAGTCTGCGTATGCAATGTGTACTGAATCGTTTGTTTTCATTTGCAAGTATTTAAATATTTATGCTGTAATTTGCAACCGCTTCGTAATGTAATTGATTTCTGCTGTATGGAAAACTGACGTTGTCTTTCTTGAGTTCGTACAAGATGAAAGGAGTAGTACAACTTATCCACACGATAGCATCACAGAACATGAGGTACATAATTCAACGATATTTATTTTCTAGCCGTTAAGTACCATATAAAACATTCCGTTCTATTTTATGTCCCTGGTTACGTCAGAATTTCTCGTTGCCAAAGGGTTCC